ATAAATAACCCTATCTTTAATGGTGATTTGCGAAAAAAATTTTACACAGCTCGTAAAAAAGAGTAAAGAGACAACTAGATCAGTGTTTCCTGTAATATTACTGCGAATCATCATCGTTCTTATTTAACTAATACATCATACATCCCATCAATTTTCCTTATATATGACGTGTATGTTCAACAATATTTTCAATCAATGTTCAATTTACTCCTTCTCATTCCTTTACCCTAAATTACACGTATTTAAGATATTTACTAAAAGTGTATTGAAACATTTCAACTAAAACTCAATAAATTGAAATAATAATTATTACATTTTGTTCTTAAAGAAGTAAAATATTATTAAATAATTTTAAAGATAATATTAATAAATAAAACTTTCATAAACTTGTTATAATATTATATTATTAGTCAAATAATTATAAATTATTTAATTCTAAAAAATAATTATTTTCTATTATAGGCTACAAATTATTAGAAAACACAATTTAAAAATAAACCATCATTAAGTTTTCCATAAAATTAAATTATTTATAAGTGTCTCAGTATAGCATATAGTCTTTTAAACCGTACTTTAATAGGTAATGAACTTTAACACTTCTATATTACTGACATCAAAACGTATACAGTTGAGTGTCGTATCTAATTTTAGTTTATCGCCTAATTAGAAGGTAATTAGGTTAGATTGTGTTAATATTTCGAATTCTTGAAATAAACCTCTTAAAAAAACATTAGCTATTCCTTATAATTTTACTGACGAGGAGTGTTCTGCAAAAACTAAATATAGATGTTTCATAAAGTGCGCAATTTTTGAAAAAGCAATAAACCAGCCAAAATCATAAATAAATTTAAACTTTTTATTATATTTAAAAAAATTTCAATTCAATGTTTAACCCCCCCCCCCCACACACAGGCCCACCGTGTCGTGGTAGGGGGCACACGCCTTTCGGGGCGTACCATCAGGCCTTAGTACAAGATGGCACAAAATGTAATGGAAAATTTATCCCAGATCAAGGCCCCCACGGATTCTGGGGGGGGGGGGGGCATCACGGATATCGATAGGAAATTGAAAATCGGAAATGTAGAATATGAAGGTATGAGTAAGAAAACAAAAATGATTGACGGGGCACTTGCCCTCCCCCCCATAGAATTTTTAATTTTTTACACCTAATTATAATAATTTAATAAAATAATGACGAAAAATAATAATGGACTATATATTAAAAGTATAAAAAAATCTTCATTTATTTTTATATTAATTTTTCCTACCTAACCTAACCTCCCTCCTCCTAGAAAAATATCTGGAGACATCCATGTATCTATACTGTCTCTGTAGATCATAATTTCAAGGACTCACATTCATACTCTCTAGCACTTCTTCAATATTTGGCTGCGTACGAATTGTACGGTTTCGACCTGGATTTTTTTGTGTTTCAACTGAACCTATTTGTTAAAATTTTCATACTAACTTCAGAACTGTTGATGCAGTTAAAACTTCCCCACGTCCAAAAGTCACCTGAAGTTTACGGATAGTCACAGTTTAAGCACACGTCGTTTTTGTAATAGGTTTTTAATAGAATATACGCCGATTTTTACTGAATCGCTCAGTGACAATTAAGTTCAATAAAAACGAATTACCTTCTAATCGAAGTGATAGATGACAAGAATAATTAAATAGGGTTGACAACTTTCTAACGAAAAAATCTCACGCATTTCAAAAATTGCACACTTTATGAAACACCATTTATTTGTATTTATAATGAATTACCTATATAATTATATATCTATGTACATTTATAGTTGTATGTAATATTAATTAAATTTTTTATAGTTTAAACGATATTTGCAAAAAATGCATTATATTTTTCTTATTAAAAATGTAACTTACTTCGATTATATAATATATTTTAAAGTTAATATCATCTGATGTTAACAAAATTATCAGTTTGAAAATTTTCATTTTTTTTTTTTTTGATAAACAATTTCTATTATATCATGAGTCATTATCACGGTTATCTACTATAGTATAAGTATATAAGTATTAGTATAGATAACCATGGTTTTGAGTGTTTTGACCATAATGGTGTAAAGATGAACATTTTTTGTGCCATGACTCATTACATACCTGTTGGAAATGTCTTTGTTTGTATACCTATTCTGTATAATACTATTTAATATTAAAATACGAATTTTAAAGAAAATAGAGAATAATGAATAATAAATAATAATGCTTCAGTTTAAAATATATTAATTCAAAATATATATTCAAAGTTGATTTGAATTTTATTTTTTTCTGTTTAACATATTTTATTAATGAAATATAAAATTAATTCTGCGTCACATTTAATTTGATTATTACTATTTTTTTCCCATCAAACTATTTTTTCATTTTTACTTTCATTTTTGTCCTATATTTATTTTAATTACAGTACCTATTGGTGATGTTACATTTAAATTATATTAATTTTTTTCCCATGCATTTAATTTTTAGTAATAATAATTAATAATTTATTAATATATTTATAGTTAGTTAATTAATAATATTAACTATCTATTCTAAATAGTTGAATGGTTTAAGGGTATTTATAATTATTAATTACTAATAAATGGTTATTATAAATAAATAATTGATTGAGGTCTTCGGACATTGGTTATTTATAAAATAAATGATATATCGTTGAAATGTTCCATAAATGTTCAAAGTGAAAAAAAAATTAAATACCCCCAAACCAAAACGCAGTATTTATTTTCAACGTCGAATGCCTCTCTGTTATATTGCACTAATTGTTATTTTTTCACTATGAAGAAACATATTTTGTATTCAAGCTACTGCATTTCAATAGTATTATCAATTCAATAATCTTATAGTATGATAACTTCGTAATCAAGCCCATTCGACCGTAAGTTATAATCTAGTATACTCATGTTCCCGGAAATCTTCACTTCCCTTACTGGAGTCGTAACCCATTGTCTACGGCGAAGGTTCATATCGTCTTCATTATTGATGACGTTATGCAGTTTGTTTCATAACAACTTATTAATACTATTAATTTAAATTATAAAATATATACTTATATAAACATATTCAACCTGTAATTCCCCGTGAATACTAGATTACTGATAGGCTTCACTGTGCGAAAAAACCGTTCAAAAGGCAGTTGAAGTCTCCTATATATTGTGTATCTTAAAATTAACGATTTATGAACAAATATCAAAAACATCTTTTATTTATCTTTTAGTTTTCGAGTAAGAATATCTGAATTTAATTACAAAAAAATAATAAAAATATTATACTATATCTATATATAGTATAAATATTTGCAATTATAATTATACTCTCTTGTGTAACTCATATTAATGATAAATTACATAAAAAATGTTGATATCGTCAATGGAATTTATAATAGCAGTCTTATAAACTTAAAAATATAATCAAGAGTCAGTTTAATACTAATTTTTTTTTTTTTAAATAGAGGTTACACTTACATATTTTATTAAACAAAATATCGCACAGTAAATATTTCGAGAGCTTGGGAACTATTTATACAAATATACAATGGTCATATAGTATACTACCATAAATTGCACATTATGTTTTATTTTCCATTAATTATTACACGTTATTTAAAAATGATTTACTTTCTACATCACTAATAAAAATAAATCATTTACAAAATCAAGAACAGGAAGTTCAATAACAATAGTTGGATTGAATTTTAACCAAATATATTTTAATGAAAATGAATTAGATTCCTTTTATATAGATATTACTTAGGTACTGTAAATTATAATATTAAAATATTGTCCTACATCAAGCATACATTTTTAAATATTATGATTAAATAAATAATGTTTTTAATTAAAAAGAAAAAGTTTAAATGTTTACAGTTCAAAGTTACTTTTTCGAATACTTAAGTACCTAATATACAAGTATTTCAATTTATTGACCGTTTTTTGTACCTAATGTATGTAATTTAAAATTATTGAATAAAGAAAAATTAGAGCTATGAACAATATAATCTAAACTTCAAAAACTGTATTTATAATACTAGTTTTCTTAAAATTCATAATTTTATTAATCAGTTAGGTATATAACTCTAATAATAAATTCAATTTTAAAGATATCATTTAAAATTGCAATGAATATGTTTATTATATAATGATGCATTTCCTACAACACCAAACATTTCATTTATTAAACGCCTGGTTTATAAGATATTCTATTTTAAGTGCAAGAAGGTCATTACTCATTTCACATCACTTATAAGTTTATAAAAGTGATCACGAAAATTGTGTTCTTGAACTGAAAAAAATTGAAGAATTCCTGTAGTTTTAAAAATTTGAATTTGAATGGCAATTCGCAACTAAATTAATGTAATACCGTTAATTAAATATTTATAGTAGTTTCTTCTTATTTATTTTATAGTATATTCTGTATGTGTTATATGCAATGTGTAAAACCACGAACGACAGTGGACTCGTGGACGATACCCGGAACGTGGGTTTTTCCAAAATCAATAGATAATACGTGTATAGTATATAGGTAATATAGGAGTACAAAAATAATACCTACGTAGTCGATAATGGTTGTTATTTTAATTTTCCAACCGTCTTTACATACAGGTATACATGCAGCGTACGTACGTGTAGTAGTAAGCAATACGAATTATAAATATACGATTTTTTTTGCGCTCTTAAGTCGTAATTCTGCCCCGATTGGCCACGGTCGTTTCGGTGCATATTATTACCTACCTACCTATCTAGTATTATTACTATTATTTCTGAGATATACTACGCAACCGTACTACAAGTATATTGGTATATACCATACTCTACCTATGTTATTATAATAGAAGTGTGTGTACGACGGCGGCGGCGGCACATCACTAGCGCGGCGCGCGGCGCACGAAGGCCAGGTAACACGCATAGGTGCCGGTTATCCCCTTTGGCCGTCCTGCGCACACCGCGCACCGGCCGAAACCGATTCAGTACGCCATAACTCGTTCGGCTGTTGTAGTGGTTCGCTCTCGCGCGCGCAGACGTAAACGCACACACGTCGGATCTACTCACCCGCGCATACGAAACGTCGTTCGGTCGTCGGTTGTTTTTAAAAAATTGTCTTATTGTTTCGGATTGCGATTGTTTATCGAGGAAAAAGTGAAAAAAAATATCGCAAGTTGTCGCATCGTCAACGATTCGTCGGGCAAAAAAATCGCTAGTGCGCTGATTTGCTCACAATTGCAGTCGTTTAGACGTAACTAGTAGTAAATTTCAATTTTTTTCCTCCGAATTTTGTCGTGTCGTCGTCGTCATCGGTTCGTTTCGGAAGATAATGATTGTATTATCGTAAGCATTTCAACAGCAGCCGGAGTATACCCAAGACCGTTCCCGCGGTTTTCCGGCAAACGTCGGGTCGTTTTTTATTTCGATTCTCGGGATTTTTCCTTTTGAATTTTTTCTCACTGTTTTCGCATAAGACATGTCGTTGACATGATCGCGTTTCTACCAGGTCGCCGCCAACAACAATGTCTTCTTCGTCTGGTGTCGCCGATCCCGAACCGGACACTATGATACAAGACAACATCGCTGCGGCGTACGCGCCGTCCGGTTACTCGTAAGTTGGCTATTATTATTACTTATCAAACAGTTTTTTTTCTTTTTCGACTTTATTACTTATGTTATAAGCCGTACTCCTGTGCTACAGCATAAACACCATAAGAATTTTAAATTTAAGACAACTACAGTTTTTGATGTGGAAAAAAAATAGAAACGTAGTCGTTAAGTTTTTCAAAAATCAACGTATCACCCTATCATCCTTTTCGCGTTTTTTGAAAAACATAAAATCGTTATCTCCGTAATATCAATAGAAGTTGTAGGTAGATGATCATTCAATAAAATAATATAAGTGCCGACGTATTTATATTTATGACCATCATTATTGAATACTTTGATTTTTTTGGATTGAGTATTTTTTTTTTCACTATAACTGTATTCGATTTATACCTATTAGTATATCACGAGTTTACTAGCTGAAAGTACTAACTCACGCGTCTCTGGTGGACAGGAAATTTAGGGTCGATTTTTTTTTTGTGTAGTGCATTTTTTTACATCATTAAATGTGTGTAACACTTGTTATTTAAACGTACCTACTTGTCGTAATATTTTACAAAAACAAGTATGGTGTTAAATGTATTTATCATTTAGTCGCTGTATTCGATTTGCTTATCGATTTAAATGTTTCGAAGGTATCAACTATCAATACCTAAGGTTGAATTGTTGCTATAAAATTCCTGCAGATCTTAATGATGACCAATTTAATCCAACGATGAAGTTATTTTTTCTTTATTTGTGCGCGCTAACGTTTAAGTCGTTACATTCATCAAAAACACAACACCGACGAAACATTAATAATTACATACAAGATACTATCATCCATAATCATAATAAATAAAAATAACAATAAAACAAGCATTTATCACAGATTAAGGAACTCGGTGAAAGGAAGAGTGCTAATGTGTCGTATATAATAATAATATGTGGCATTTGTGTACCAGTTCTCTTTAAAAACGAAAATTCCAATGACCTATGATTTCCGTTGATACGTTGAAAGTACTAGGCACAAATACTTTTTTTCTGGGTCAGTATTGTAATGCCAATGGAATATTTATGACAGATTTATTACATCAATATAAATACGTAATAATATATTGATCAAGAAAATGTCGCTGTGCATTTTAATTCTGGTAATAAAATACAATAATTATAGTTAGAAATATGTGCATGCCATTAGCATTCTTGTCTCCCATCATTTGTAACATTTGAATCGTAAATTTATAAATTTTATCTCAACTCGGTGTATAGTTAGTCCTTTTAGCTAAAAATTTTGTCACGAAACTATTTTTAAGCATATTTTGCCAAGGCCGAGTCTACACCAGAACTAATTGACCTCACATGAAACTTTTATCTTGTAACGCTGTTAAAAGTGTGGTTTTTTTCTAACGTAAAATATTCCACGGGAACGACTGTAAGGTGTTGGTTTTTTTTTATTGCCACCGTAAAGATAATTTTATTCGGAATCATAAAACCCGCAATCAGCCAATCGTCACACGACGCAGCTTCCATTGGCCCGTGTCGTATAATTTAATCAAAACTTGTGAAAATATACGAGGCTTGCAGATTGATGCGTAATTGTTTGGTCGAATAAAAGCAGATGCTCAAGAATAGTTTTGGTCGATCAAAAAAAAAATTATTTTATTCTAATTTACATATATCATTGTTAACATATTATTTTTATTATTATTATTATTATTATTAAACACACTCACAAGCTCTTTCTTGGAATTGGAACTATTCGCAAAGTCACTATCAGTAATTGTCAAATAGTGCACTATAATAATATGTGCATACTGCATATAGTATATCTTCTGTGTATACCTCTAAGTATATGTAGACTGTTCGATATCATTAGTTCCATCCCATGTTTAAACGAATACAGACAACAGTACTTATAAACATGTAATATTCTTTACGATTTTCATCACGCGTGTAAAAAAAACATTTTTGCACACAGTGATAATTCGTAGCCATCGAGATAATTTTGATGTTTCTTAATTCTTATATAGTGTACACACTACATACACAATAATAAAAATACATATGCACAAGTGTATAGCCATAGTCTATATCCTATATAGCTTATAGTTTTATACACATAATATAATGCAACCACTGCGTGTAGTCTAAATTTCACTTTAAACATACATTCGATGTTTTTTTTCTTTTATCATTAACACAACGCCGCCACATGTACTTTCGTCATCGAAAGCAATACGTTCTCTAAAGACGGCGAGAACGCGTTATCATATTTTCGAGTAAGAACTTTAAAAACAAACAATATTGCATTTCCTGTAAACATGCGTGTATATGTAATTATCTTTGGTTAATACCTTAGTGACCGTATTTTCATAAAACATTATATTATGTATGTATAACAACGCTACTGAATTGCGTGATATAATAATATCATATCCAATAAATAAATCACGGTCGAACTAAACAGCAGTGTATCTACTATCTACTAAAAAAAAAGTGTGTGGTGCATCTTATATATATTAGCAGTATTATTATATACAAGTATTGTCTTTTATATAAATTGCTTAACCCACCATACATGCATAATATATGCTTTTCTTATTTTTGTTAATCTTACAATAAGAATAAATACAACGGGAGTATTGGCCTGACATTTGACCTCTATTATTATTAATCTCGAGAAAAAAAAACCCGATAAGTATCTGGTAATTAGGCCGTATTATCCAACGTAGGCCTTTTATCATATATTATACCCTTTCACTCGATCCCGCGCAGTTGTTATCTACGCATCACGATGCGTCATTGGTAAAATAAACCATTATATTTTTAAGAAAATTAACCACATAGGAAACGGATATGACGGAGTTGTAAAATTTAAGTAATGCATTGTAATTAAGGTGCATTGGCTAGGATTTACTATTTTAATTTATTATTAGAATTTAAGCGAACGAGTTCCCACAGAATTTTCTTTCTTAAATTATTTACTTTTATTTTTCCATGAAAAATAAATAAAACAAGAAATAGTTGTTCTTCTTATCCGTTTTCAATAATCAAAGAAATATTATGTGGTTTGTGATCTGGGGGCGTGACGCGTGAGCGAAACGTTTACGAGAAATAGCCAGGAAAAATATTAAAATATTACGTTCCTACCAAAATTACTTTCTTGTGTAAGAGAAAACAATGTTTGTATTATACTTTTTATTAATATTAAAATATTTTTAAAAAAAAATGTACAATTTTTGGCTATGGACTGTGGTGTTTTTTTTTTTTTTTTATTATTCATTATTTAGTGTAGATAATTTTGTTGACGAGTTTTTTGTGTTTTTATTTTTTACATATATATTATCAAATAGGTATAATATGAGTATTTTTAATCATTAAAACAAATTATTATTTAATAATATAATTATAATAGCATGAAACATTTTACTAGTTTCATAAATAATTTATATTTATATTCTTATTCTTTTTGTAGGCAAGAAAATACTTAGTAATATATTATTGTTATTTGTAAATAGTAATGATTGTTAAAAAATTATATAATAATTACTTTTTAAATTATTGATCTGAATGAATACAAAATATAAATAAGGTCGCGTACACAAGTAAAAATGTTTATAAACAATATTGTTATTACAGTGTATTATAGTGTATTTGAGTTTGATATCACTTGACTGTTAATCAACTGTTTTATTTAAATAGCCATTATATTTAAAATGCTCATTTAATCGAACATTCACTTGTAAATACACAATATTATAAAGTTACATCAAACTATTAGATGCGATGGAATAAACTCTGTACTTTGTTTATTTTTCACAGCAAAAATTGCACCACAAATATGATACATTATAATAAAAAAAATCAGGAATATTTTTGATGTTAAAAGGACTATTGCTTCAATATTAAAGTTATGTTTGTTTTTAAGTTTTTTACAAGCTTAGCTCTGTAAGTTGGTTTTTATTTAATGAATTTGTGTGCTAATCTAGGCAATAATAATGGATAAGACGCAACTCTACACATATTAGGCCGAAAATATATAATTTTCATTGCTTATTAAATTATGTAAATGCATGATAATTGCGTTTTGTTCACGGACACGAAGTACATATTTCCACGCATTTTAGCGTTTAGTTTATGGTGTTTTTCGCAGTCCATGCTGATTTCAAATAAAAATAATAATAAATGAAAATAATCGTAAAAATGTCGAAAAAAACCATATACCTACGTCCTACGTGTTATTATTTTTCATAACAACAATAATAATATTTCAATGAAAAAAAAACTTTTTGTCACAATATGTGTATGCTGCAGTCATCGCCGGCGTGTACCCATATAGATGTATGTGACACACGATTCGACTATCTGTTACGCGCCGTCGAGCGTACTAAGTAAAACGAAATGTATAAAAATTAGACTGAAAAAATATAAATAAAACAAGTAAAAATTTAAATCTCGTTGTGACTTAAATTAACGTTAATTACCATCGGATCCCGTGTCTAAAGAAAGTGGCTCCAATGTAAAACGCTTCGTTAAAGTAATGTGGATTTTTTTCTTTTCATTCTTCCTGATCTAATCATCTGAATCTTTCATTAATTTCAATCATTCTAAAAAAACACGTTTTCACCTTCCGTTAATCCAATGAGACAAAAATATAAAATGCAAATCTAGGAAGAAAAAAAAATTACTTGGAAATTGTACGTATCTGTGAATTGATCAAAGAATAATTATATTATATTTAATGTTGCAGACTACAGTGCAGACTAATTTAGGTAGTTTACACGTGCATAAATTTAATGTCAATGTTTACAGTGCGCTTTTTCGATATATATATACATTATATGATAATTTTTTGATTATATAATAAATAATAATATGTATCGTTTAGATTTTGGAATACATTATCTGTGTGAACACGGCATCTATATATGACACTAATTTGTATCTCATACAGGCCCAAAGCCTGACCAAATTTTCAGGTGGGGTAATGCAAATTTTTTTTGGGGGGGGAATTATATAAAA